GAGCAGGCGAGGGGGCCCCGGGGCGCTCCCGGGCCCTGCGCGGCGCCTGAGGGGCCGGGGCGAAGCGCGAAGGGCGGGCGCGCCGCGCCGCCAGCTTCGGTGTGGGCCCTCTCGGCTGCCTCCTTGCGCCTTCGCTTCGGCTGAGGAGAAACGGGGAGAAAATGGCAAAGTCCGGAGGAGGCGGCGGCGGCGGCGGTGGTGGTGGCGGCGGCGGCAGCGGGGGACTGACTTGGGTGGTAAGTTGCGGGGCTGCGTTTTGTTGTTTGTGTTTTTGTTGTGTGTGGTTTTTTTTATTATTTTATTTTTTAATTTCTTTTGCATCCTTTGTGTGTGTGTGAAGAGCGGAGGTTGGCTTTTAAAGGAGGAAGAAACTGCCGGCTGGCGTGAGAGGGGAAGCGCTGTGGAGCCGCTCTGTGGAGGGATGCGGGGAGAGGGAGAAGACAGCCGGGGTTTGGACTTGGGGTGGGCTTAGCAGGAGGGGAGCTTGCAGTCCTGAGGGGCTCCTTGGGGTGCTCGGGACTGTGAGGAAAAGGTTAGCCTGTGAGCAAACGGGTAGGAAGGAACCTCCTGCCCTGGGGGGAGCGGGTGGGTCAGGAGGGCTGTGTTGAAGTCGCTGTCCTCCGAAGTGAGTTGTGGGCTGTCCCGCGTCCCGCGAAAGTCGCAGTTGCTGCCTCTTGATGCTAGAGCAAAGTCTTGGGTGGTGGGCTACCAAAGGGGCTTGGTGTTGATCCCAACTTCTTTCCTAACTGTCTGGAAAGACAATACCTGAAGTTCATAGGCTTCAGAGATGGTTAACGAGAAGGCTTTCAGAGGAATTCAGGGGGCTGCTTTCATTTGCATCTTGGAATTAAATTTCATTATCTTACTAAAGCTGTAATTTTGTAACAAGGCCAAGAAGGGTTGTTTTTGCTGCTTTTCATGGGTTGGTCAGAAGTAGTAAGACTTGAGAAGTGGCAGGTGATAACTGAGTCTAGAACCAGTGAATCATTTTGAGCCGTTTTAAAGTCTTTTGAGAGTATTAACCCCGACTCAGAGTGCAGAGGGATGCTCTCTTCTGTAGTAATAGTGGATGCTCTCTGGTTGTGGTAAGACCTGAGGAAGGAGGAGCAAAGATGACCTGAAGGGGTCTTATTCAGCCAATCAGTAACTTCCCTGCCTTTCTCTTGTGCAGTGTAGCATTCAATAGAGGGTAACTTCTTTAATGATTGAGTAAAAGACAGTGTATCTTGATAGGTAGATGATGAGGTGGCTGCGACTTTACTCAGATGCATGTGCTTTACAGAGTTAGGAACTTTTAAGAAGTCTTGTTAAAGAGAATAATAGCTAACTTCTTCTGTTATGTCTTTCTACATCTTTGAGCTGTTGGAAAGAATGTGAATAGCATTATTGGGGTGAACAAATCCTGTATATTCTGATGGTGGACTTTTTATGTGGCTTTACTGCATTTTATGTTGGTAATTTGCTTTTTAATTTTAAGAAGCTGGCAACATGGGAAGGTATATAAAAATGAGCAAGTTTCTGGGCGTGCCTTTTGAAATTAGACAGTTTAGATATGGGAACAGCCTTGGTAGAGAAGCTGAAATTATTCTCCTTTCCTTCCTGCGGTACTATGTGATCTTTATCAACCGTGGTCTTTGGGTAGCTCTTCAGAATTAAGGTTTTTACAGGCTAGGTTGGATCAAGTAACTGAAAGTTTTGCAGCTTATATAGAAAACTGCAGAATGAAGTGTGAAAATCACCGAGTAGACATTTTTAATGTAACATGTTCTTAAATGTAATGGGGGTGAAAGTATGGTGAGTCAACAGTTTCCTACAACGCGAAGTAATCAAACTTTTCCTTCTCTAAAAGCAGTAAAAATAAAAGTGCTTTTGTCATCTCAGAGTAGTTGTAAGGAAATAAATAGATTTTAGTTACATCTGTGTTCGCATTTTTCCAGAAAACAGTAGGATGTTGTTTCTTTCTCTCACATGCATTTTAAATGCTGAAGATAGGACTTCTGAGCCAGTTCCTAATGCCAGACTTGTTCAGTGTCATTTGTAGAACACTGGCATCCGAAAGAACAGTATTGTTGTGGCACCGAAATGGATGGGGGAGTGGCTAACGATAGGTTTAATGTGCCAGGCCAAAAAAAAAATGTTGGTTCAGATGATGGTCCATGAGTATATATCATATGCTGGCCTTAAGGATGAGAGGTACAAAGCTAGGTACAGTAATAGTTTCAGCTGTCTGGTTTCAATCTGCTTGCCATATATCTGCTGGGTATGCAACTACTTCCTATTTGGTTGTATGTTGTTTTGGAACTACCTTGATCTTTTTAGACTTTTTATTAGTGTGTTGAAACCACTAGGATGCTTACTTTCTGAGTAATGTATTTTGTATTGTTAGTGGTTTCTTTTTAAGACGATGAGTTAAACAATTGAAGGGTGACAGAAGTAAGTCAAGCTCTAAAGATGAGGAAACATTTAAAACTTAGTGTGATGTTAATTTGTGTTTCGAACTAGCAAATCCTATATATGTAACCTGGTGTTCACATTCTAGTAAAGAGTTGTATGTGTAACTTGAGCTTTGGTTGTGATGTAAAAGCATGCTTGTTCATAGGTTCAGCCAACTAGGAAAGAATTACATGCAGTTATGAAAAAGAAGGTGGTTTCTAACTTTATGGGTAAGGTTTTTGCATCCGAAGTCTGCGCAGGGTCTCTCCTGCACCAAGGACCTGCCTGCTGTTGCTGTATCCTGAGCTTCATCCATTACTCTGATGTAGGAGCAGGGGCTTTTGGGCAGGAGCAAGACAGGACTTGGTGGAAGAGTGTGGGCACATGACGGGCTGCCCAAGAATTATTGTATGTTACTGCTGTATCATGAGGCTGTCCTTGTAAGCTGGCAGGATTCTACCTAACGAAGTACAAACTGCTAAGCAAGTATGACTAGTAATATGACCAAATCCTAATCAAATCTTCACTTTTTAGAAATAAGCATGCTGTCCTAGAGGTGAACCGCGTGTAAATAGTTCTTCTTTATTCTTTTTATTGCTGCTTATTACCACTTCATTAGTTTCAAAAGCAGGAGTAGGTGGCTGAAGTTTCTACCCCTGAATCCTCTAGACCTTTAGTTGCCTCTCTAGACCCAGGTTAAAGCTTCAAATTAGCTGTCTCTTCTTTCTGGTTTTTTTTTTTTGTTTGTTTGTTTTTTTTACCTGGATCAGGCCTTCTGTATCTTCAGTGGCTGAAGCTAGGCCTGGAAGACAGTTGTCATATATGTACCAGTTGTTACATATACTGTCTTATCTTTCCTCTGCTATATTGTGGTGTCTGCGGGTGGGGTGGGGAAGAAGACATTGTTGCCAGGTCTTGTTTCAGTGCTCCTCTCTGGTTTCTAAGTAAGTGTCTGTTCTTTTGCTATTATGTTGACCAGAAAACTGTTGCTTTTTGTGCCCCACATGCCCCACTTCCCTTTCTTGTGTGTTTTGGGGTTTTTTTGTTGTTGTTGTTGGGGTTTTTTTTGCTTTTGTTTTTTTTGTTGTTGTTGTTGGGGGTTTTTTTGCTTTTGTTTTTTTTGTTGTTGTTGTTGGGGGTTTTTTTGCTTTTGTTTTTTTTGTTGTTGTTGTTGGGGGTTTTTTTGCTTTTGTTTTTTTTGTTGTTGTTGTTGGGGGTTTTTTTGCTTTTGTTTTTTTTGTTGTTGTTGTTGGGGGTTTTTTTGCTTTTGTTTTTTTTGTTGTTGTTGTTGGGGGTTTTTTTGCTTTTGTTTTTTTTGTTGTTGTTGTTGGGGGTTTTTTTGCTTTTGTTTTTTTTGTTGTTGTTGTTGGGGGTTTTTTTGCTTTTGTTTTTTTTGTTGTTGTTGTTGGGGGTTTTTTTGCTTTTGTTTTTTTTGTTGTTGTTGTTGGGGGTTTTTTTGCTTTTGTTTTTTTTGTTGTTGTTGTTGGGGGTTTTTTTGCTTTTGTTTTTTTTGTTGTTGTTGTTGGGGGTTTTTTTGCTTTTGTTTTTTTTGTTGTTGTTGTTGGGGGTTTTTTTGCTTTTGTTTTTTTTGTTGTTGTTGTTGGGGGTTTTTTTGCTTTTGTTTTTTTTGTTGTTGTTGTTGGGGGTTTTTTTGCTTTTGTTTTTTTTGTTGTTGTTGTTGGGGGTTTTTTTGCTTTTGTTTTTTTTGTTGTTGTTGTTGGGGGTTTTTTTGCTTTTGTTTTTTTTGTTGTTGTTGTTGGGGGTTTTTTTGCTTTTGTTTTTTTTGTTGTTGTTGTTGGGGGTTTTTTTGCTTTTGTTTTTTTTGTTGTTGTTGTTGGGGGTTTTTTTGCTTTTGTTTTTTTTGTTGTTGTTGTTGGGGGTTTTTTTGCTTTTGTTTTTTTTGTTGTTGTTGTTGGGGGTTTTTTTGCTTTTGTTTTTTTTGTTGTTGTTGTTGGGGGTTTTTTTGCTTTTGTTTTTTTTGTTGTTGTTGTTGGGGGTTTTTTTGCTTTTGTTTTTTTTGTTGTTGTTGTTGGGGGTTTTTTTGCTTTTGTTTTTTTTGTTGTTGTTGTTGGGGGTTTTTTTGCTTTTGTTTTTTTTGTTGTTGTTGTTGGGGGTTTTTTTGCTTTTGTTTTTTTTGTTGTTGTTGTTGGGGGTTTTTTTGCTTTTGTTTTTTTTGTTGTTGTTGTTGGGGGTTTTTTTGCTTTTGTTTTTTTTGTTGTTGTTGTTGGGGGTTTTTTTGCTTTTGTTTTTTTTGTTGTTGTTGTTGGGGGTTTTTTTGCTTTTGTTTTTTTTGTTGTTGTTGTTGGGGGTTTTTTTGCTTTTGTTTTTTTTGTTGTTGTTGTTGGGGGTTTTTTTGCTTTTGTTTTTTTTGTTGTTGTTGTTGGGGGTTTTTTTGCTTTTGTTTTTTTTGTTGTTGTTGTTTGTTTTGTGTTTATGTTTTTGTTATGCAATGAAAGGTAGGTCAGACCTGAAATAGGTGCCCCAATATGTTACTATTTACTTTCATTAAACATAATGCATTTTGTAGGCTTTGGAACTATGCATTATTTCAACAGTAAAGGGAAACCAGCATTCCCTCTTGCTCTTGTTGAATTTATGATTCTGGTGCCCTTAAGGAAGCAGTGTTGCAAAGAGATGTGATGACTCTCCTGAATATTTTAACACTAGAAAGAAATGTTTGTGGCTCAATCTGTCCTCGGACACAATAGTTCTCAAGAGGGATTCATTAGATGTTATGGCTTGCCTGCCAAAAAAAGTTTTTACCTCTTATCCTCTATCCTCCCTGCCACCATCCAGTCAAATT